CTGTGTTTCTTAACAAGTGATCTAAATTTCTCTAGATTATAAAGTTTAGAGATAATGCATATTGAAAAGGGAACGAATAGTATGTTGTGACAAATGGGTTTGTATAAGCAGGAAGAAACAGACTTGAAGAATAGCCTATGAAGATCTTATTATAACTGAGCACATGTATGTAGAAGTCATTATGTCCTCCAAATGGGGCATGATTTGTGTCGTTCCTGATGTATGCTGCATTTTCTTTGTGTCTTGAAAATGAATTATTCCGTTGTGGTGTTTCCCTTGAGAGGGGAGTGCACAGTTTCAAACTCAGTCTTCTTGCAGGAACACATGAGCTAGTTACCTTGTTTTCCCGGCCTTTTATCTTTATATACTGTGTTGTAAGGAAGAACTTGACCACCAGTAGCTGCCTTAGTTTAGTAGCAGTTAAACAGTAGGTCTCGGCAGCATTATGAAATGGGGTTTGTGTGGTGCTCTGCCTAGATAGTTGCTGCGACTGTTTTTGAAAACTAATTTGTTCCTGTTGCTCTATCCATGCTGCTCTATATGCTTTCCAGTTTAGGTAAGGGATATTGGGACAGCAAATACCACAAAACTTCAAAACTGAAAATATAAGCTGTGGTTAACTTCACTGATTCAGTAAGCCTGAAAAAAGAACTGGCCTCATTAATGAATATGTATTTAGCACCTTTGAGGATTGGCACAGATGCTGTAACTTTGGCCGTGAACATTGCAGGGCTTCAGTTGTATGACACGTCTGTAATCCCTGAAGCAGCATTCCACTAGCGCTTTCAACTGAGTAAGGAGAGAGTAAAAATAGCAATGGTAAACTTTCCATCTGTATCACTCAAAGCTGAAGCCCTGGGGGTGGGGAGGGAATCAGTATCTTCTGCTCATCGTTAAAGAACCTTTATGATAATATGTAGTTCATACGTAGTGCTGTCAGCCAGAAAGCATTAAGTACTTTACAAAGGCAATTGGTACCATCATCTGTGTTGTATGAGGAAACTGAGGAGGGACATGGCCTAAGCCACAACCGTACAGCTAAGCAGACTGAACTAGAAGTAATTGTGTCCCCTCATCCTTTGCTGTACTGACTGTCAGCAATATTCCCAATCTCCTCTGTCCCACTGGCCTGCTGGTGTGACTGAGGTCTCTTACTACTCTGCGCAGGAGTAAGTACAAGAGTCTGGGGTGTGGATTCTTAACAGCCAGCTTCTGTGCACGTAGTTCATGCTAGCATAAGGAGACCAGAATTGCTGGTAAACCTAATTTGTATAAATTGAGGCAGTAACACAGGGCAAAAAAGAAAATACTGTGTTACTATTAACTGTGGCGTGTGTTGGTGCCTTGGCTAGACCTGGCCTGAATTGGGAAGTTGTAGGTGCAGATAGCTGTACTGCTTGTGAAGATAGCTGGGAGTTTTTTCTGCACACATAAGAAATGTAATCCATAATCCACTCATGGGTTATTGAGAGTAGACTAGGCTGGAGAACTTTGCCACCTGATATGTGTTTATGGGTGGGGGGAGCAGAAATGTTTGCATCATTTTAAACGGCAGTAGCTTTGCACTTCTCAGTGATTGACTTCCCTTGGGGAAAAAAGCATGCCTGCCTTTTTTTCTTTATTTTTTTCCCCCTTGCCAAACCAGTGTTTTACATATGCCCACAGTAACTTTTGAATTGCTTCCTACTTTGCTTTTGCTGAAGGCCGGTTTCCACATGGCAGTGTTGCCTTGCTTGTTTTGAACTCTCTGATGGGCTCCACAGAAGAAGTGCAGGAGCATACCCATAAATTTAACTTGGGTCTCCCGCTCCGTCGGATGGAGTTCTGTTTCCACAGAGACCAAAGCTTGTGTGTTTCAAGGAAGATATTTTTAGGAGCTGCTGTTTAGCTGGTGGAAGGACCTTCTTCCTTAATAGGAGAGCAGATTGTAACAGGATTCCTCTTTTCTCAGAATGTCTTTTGCCTTTTTCTATCACATTCTTTCCTTTTTTGTATATCACTTAGTTTCCCTTTCATTGCGTCCTTCTTATCCATGTCTGCTCTTCCTCTCTTCTGTTTCACTTTCTGTATCACTATTCCTGTTGCACAAGAATTTAATACCACAAGGAAGTTTGCAGAGAGTGGGGAAGGGACCCAGCCTTTGCTTAAAGGATACTGTATTTTAAAGATAAAATCCCCAGGTCATTTTGTACCTCAGCTGAACGGTGCTTGCTGAGTCACGGGCTGGGCAGCGTTTGTGAAATGCAGAGCATCAGGGAGCCAAGCCCTGGCCTTCAGCTCCAAGAACCTGGCGCGCGTCAATTATTCATGGCCCTTGCTTATGAGTTGTCATGTGTCCTTTGGCCTCGCAGTAAATAAATTTTACATGTAGCTGTTTCTGCTGATGTTTGCGGTAAGCTTGGTGTCTCACCTTCTGATTGACAGCCTAATGGTAAAGGGCTTAAAAAGATAAATCTGTTACAGTAACTCCTCTGTCTTGGAAAGTTGGACTGTCCCTAACTAAAACAGTCCCAGAGATTCTTTTAATTGTCAGTCAGTAGGAATACAAAGTAGAAAAGACATTTGACCTAATGACCTGCTACAAGTGCACTAACTCAGTGTCCTAATACCCTTTTACGATTTTTCTTTTTTTTGTCAAAATTGTTACGTTGCCTTTCTGCGGAGTTAGATACTGAATAGTTGTAGCATTTATTTAGTGATGAAGGGCTACTTTAAATTTAGAGATCTCTGTGGGGTTTTTTAACAATGCTATAGACTGTATCTGACTTTAACTGGCATACTATGAAATTGAGATTTTTTTTCTAGAGTATCTATTGCCACAGCAGCAAAGTGCTCCACTTACAATATGAGCTGTTCCAGAAACAAAGTAACATCAAAAGGTGTGAATCCAAAGCAGATCAATGTTGAAGAAAATTGCCATACTAAGGGCAATTGTATGTATTGAAGGAATTCTCTTGCTACCCTATTCTGTCCTGTTACCCTGTGATTCTCATTCAAACATCTGTTTCCATATTCTGCTTAGATTGTAAACCTTTTAGAAAGGGGACTTTACATTTATCGTGATGCTGGAGTACAGGATGGTATTGCAAAACCTACCAGCATTAATATCATTCCTTCCATCCCTACTTCAGTGTCACGTAGAGGATCTTGTTCCAGTCCTGTTTTCTTGTATCTCCTGATGTTGATGCATTTCTGCCTGTCTTTAATATGATGCAACAGCTGCTAGATCAGCAGATTGGATGCATGTGCTGCCTTCAAAGGTACATGCCTCTAGCCCTCCCCACCTAGCAACCGGAATGAAGTCCATGAGGACAAGGCTTTGCTCCAAGATCCTGTTAAAATGCATACCAAAATCAGCTAGGATCTGCTGTGTGCTGGACTATTTCTAACAGTAAGGGAGAAAAAATTCTCCTAAAAGAGCTTCACAAGATCTCTTTAAAAACATCAGGCCATGGCTGTGGTGATAGACCACCAACATGAGCTGCTGCTTGGTTACCGAGAGGATAAAATTTTACTCCAGGGAGATATTTTTATACAGTTGCTTATTCATATTACAGCAGATGCCAAAAGCACCCTTATGCTCAGCACTATAGAAATTAAGAAAATTCCAGTTTCACAGAGGCTACAATCCAGTCTAGTTTTACTCCCTCGTAAAACCAGGCAATCTTGACAGCCTGTAGTTGGACGATTAGTACTGCATTATTCTTCTATTGTAATTTTAATTATTAATTGATTGTTCTTCCACTGTAATATTCTCTATTTCGCACATACCCAATCATTTAGCTGCTTGAAAGTCAAGTACTATCCACGCCTGCCATACACCTCACTATCAGCTTGGCAGGGAAGTTGAAACCTTACAGGTGCACATTGGGTATAGCCTAAACTGTAGGGTTTTGATTTTCATTGTCATGGCAGTGACAGCAGGACTGCAGAGAGTGTAGACTGGCAAAAAGACATGTTCTGCACAAATTATTTTGTACTAGAAATGTGTTCTCTTCTGCACTTGATTATTTTTTTTATATGGCTTGCAATAGGAAGTGGAGTTATACATAGGAATCTTCTGGGTAAATATTTTATAATTAACTGAGTAACAGCTTTGATTTGCAGCTTTCCTAACAAGTTGTGGTGGCCAAATACTATTATACTCTTCACTTCTTCCTAGCCACTGTCACCTCCTCATGTGCCCCTTCCAAATTCCTTTATATTTTGCATACTTGAAGTAAAAACTGAATTAGTATCATCCTCAAATTTTTTGCAGCTGTGAAACAGCACACAAGCTAGGACAGTTTTATAGACTGGATGGGAATATTGGGGAGCCATCCAGGACTCCCCGTGAACCCTGAATTTTATGGAATGATGTATCTTTATAGTTACAAAATAAGCTTGACATATTTTAAACTGGAAAAGAAAAATGAGGAATAATTTACACTGATCAGAAATTGAAAAAATGAATGGAACTATCCTCTGAAATTTTTATCCTCTTTGGTGTCTTTAGCTACACTAACAAGGCAGTTTGGTCTTTTTGTTCCAGCTGCGTGGAAGGAAAGGTGGGCAGAGGAGTAAGTATCTTCTTTAATGGTGGAAAGGTTGTTTAGCCTCCAGAATATCTAATTGAAATTCCTGAGTGACTCTGGGCAGGGGGAAGTCTAATTTATAATCTGCTGTGCTGTGGAGTGAAAGATAAGAGGTGTTCATGAAGATGGTGAAGATTAATGAACAAACTGACATTCCATCTTTGCGGATAGCTCTCTTCAGCCTGTGTAATATTTTGATTATTTACTTTACTGGACTGTTTTGAAGTTTAGACTTGTAAATTCACGTCTCCTAGGAATAGATTTTAAAGAGCTACAATGGGTAGGAGGGATGCTTTGGTTTTTATCCCCCTCTCCTTTTGTTTGTTTTGTTTGGTTTTTTGCTTTGGTGATGCGAAATGTTTTGTGTGGTTTGGTTTTTTTTTTTGGTTGGCTGGTTTTTTAAAGGGATGTTTCTTTTCTCTACAGGTATGGTGTTAGTCCTGAGAACATTATTCTGTATGGTCAGAGTATTGGTACTGTCCCTACAGTAGACCTGGCATCTCGGTACGAGTGCGCAGCAGTAATCCTTCATTCTCCCTTGATGTCTGGATTACGGGTAGCTTTTCCTGACACTAGGAAAACCTATTGCTTTGATGCTTTTCCAAGGTATGTATAAATGCTGCAAAGAGAGTTGTTCTGTACTCAACGTGCTCTTTAGGTGTTTAAAAGGGACTAGTTGTGTAACTTTCCAGGGAACTCTATTGAATTGTCACCTGCATTTTAAACTTCAGCTGTGCACACCTCCTAGATCCAAGCAGAGATCCACCACGTAAGAAAGAGGCTGATGTCAGTCTCAAGCTGACATGATAGTCAGCTCAATGAACAAATAAAGTCTTAGTGTTTACAACTAATTTTTCTCCTGGTTTTTGTGTTATGGGTTGTTAATATCAGAATTTTTATCCTGTGAAGTTTGGAGTAGTAGCTTAACAACTGATAATATACTATTAAGTCCTTCAGGCTAGTAACTAATGACTAACAAATTAGTAATTGTACACTCTTAACATCTCAGTCAACTTTGATTTAGAAGGTAATATGATATCATGAAATGGATGTGCTGTTTTCAAGCTGCTTGTTAAAATATTGCTGTAGTTTTACCAGATCAGCAGAGAAAAAAGTATAGATAATTGCTGCTTTTAAAGGGAGAAAAGAGAGGGTCAGAGGCTAAGTGTTAGACTGGTGTGGTTCACTTTTCAGCTTGGTTCTGCATTTCATGTATGATCTTGAGGGGATGCATTTAGTGTTTCTTTGCTTTTGGTCCTTGTAATTAAAAACACTTCTGCATCTTTGGTATGCTGTCCATGTAAAATCACTAAAGATACCGAGACTTGTATTTGTTCCTCCCTGATGGAGATCATGTAAGATCCTAATGTCTGTGGCCAAAATAAAGTAAGTTACTGTCCCTCTCTTGGAAGATTTTGAGCTTGTTTTAAGAAGCTCTAAAATAGTTCACATACAGAAAGCTATATACAACTGGTTTCAAGATAAAACAGTCGCCTTTATAGCCTAGTGTTTCATTTGAAAAGCAATTGCAATAGACCTAAACTAGAGTTTCCAAATATTTGGGAATGGTAGAGGTCCTGGGAATAGCACATGTTCTAGGAATCTTTTAAAACTTCTCATTTGACCCAGTTTAAAGTATGGGAGAATATGAGAGGGGAAGCCAGTCTCTTTGTAGCAGTGTATATAGACCTAGTGGGGGGTTGAGGGGAGGCACAGATAAAAAGCTAAGAGGTCCGTGGAAGGGAGAAGACAAAGCAGAGACTCACTGAAGTCTTGTGCAAAGCTTGATTTTGCTTCAGAAGGTCATGTTTGCAGTAAGTGTAGAAGGGGATATTCATAGCATTTGTTATGTTTGTTTTATTTTGGTTACAACAGATTAAAATTAGAAGGTGGAGAAGACTGTAGATACAAATCCGTATGCCAAAACAGCCAGAAGTAATAGTGACCAAGTAATAGTGGCTCTCACAGTATCTATGTCCAGTCCCCATGCTTAGAATTCTTCCAAATAGGTTATTAATTAAATAAGTAATTAAATTGTTGAAGGTGCAGTCAGAATTTAAAACACTTATACTCCAACTCATTCACCATCCTCAAACCTGAAATCCAATATTTACAAATGCTTCTGCGAGAGGGGAAAAAACAAAGCCTTAAAAATAGCTCTGATTACAAAAGTAACAGTGATTAGCTGGTATCAGCCAAATCTAGTAACAGTTTAAAAAAGAAAAAGTGGGAGGAGGGAACAGTGACGACAGATGCACTGCAGCACTGGAGTATTTTGTTCTTGCCCTACTGAGCTGTTCGTTGCTGTCAGTCTGACTTCACTTGTGCACTGCTGTTTATTTTCACTGCTTACGGTACTTTTATGAATGTGTGCAGCTCAACTGTCTGTCTTCACAGTGGGAAACAAAATAGTTCTGTGTGCACCTACAGTGAATTGCTATTATGTGCATTTTATGTTGGGACTCCGTGAAATTTGGTCTCTGTAGATTCTTCTAGCTGCAGAGCGGTATGGCTAAGAATACTAAGTAAGTCTAATGTGCGGTTTAAATACTGCCTTATGAGTTGCTGAGTTGGCAATGGGACGCTTTCCAATTTTCTGCAAAATACAAATATTATCTAGCTTAATCGTCTGTGAATATATGTGAAAAAATAGTTTCATTATCTAAATACTGAAGTGAAAGGGCTTTCCTATAATAAATGAGAACTTAGTATCTAGCCACTAAAATGATGTATAAACATCTCTGTAGCTGTATGTAGCTGACATGTCTGTCACATCATGAAACTCGGGGACAGACCCTTCATGGGCTTAAGACTTCAGTTTATATAGCATGTTGATAATAAAATATTTACATTTGGCTATGATATTAATGCGGGGATGAAAATTATGGAAAATAAAAAATCTGCATTATTCTGATGTTTCTCTTATGTTCTTGGGATATTTTTCTGTATTCAGCATAGCTGCACACAACTCAAGTTCCAGACAGGAAAAGTGAAATAGGCTGCATTTTAATTTTAAATAACACTTTTCCTCTTTAAATGACATGAAGCCTGTTTTTTTGGAGAAGTATTGAGACAGAGACAGAAATGTGTTTACACTCATCTGTTTACTGGAATACCAATGCTGAGATTTATATGCATGAGGTTTAATGCTTCAGTCTACATCTTAATTTTTAATTAACTTTGTATTTTCATAAAGCTTCTTTAAACCTGTTTTTAAGTCAGTGTATGTTGGCATCTGTATTTTTTTTAATCATTTTAAGCAGTCTAGATCACTTTGTAAAATCTCTAGTCTTACCAAAATTGCATGCTTGCTTGTTCTGCAGGAGCAGGAAAATCCAAACAGCTTTTATTAGATAGTGTAAAGAAATAGAGTTGTCCTTCTGTCAAATCGAGTATTATTGATGCTCATTTTTCCACCCACTTCATCCCATACTCTGCATAATGTCCTGAGCCAATTCCTCCATTTGTTGATGTAAGTGGAGCTGGTAGGAAGCTGAGAGTTCATTAGCACGTGGTGTCTATACACTGATTTGGAATTATTGGTAACTACCAACATGAAGTGGCTGTCTGGAAGTAAAAGCTGGTGCCTGCATGAAGACAGTCAGAGAAAGCTGCTGTTTACCACTTTGAAGTGCACGTGCTACCAGTATGCTTCATAATCGGGGTTTTCTGGCCTGAACTCTTAGGTGTGAAGGTGCCTTTGTCACTCTTCCCTTTCCTCTGAATCCATTTTCCTGAGAGAGGTAGTCACTAGCTACATAGGTCTGCTAAGTGTAGCTGGAACAAAAGGAAAAACGTTTACTTTAAGGCCACTTTGCAGGCAGGAGCTGGCGAAGAAGTTGGTTGCATGAAGTAAAATCCTGTGTGAGTTTCTTTTGGTTTGCAGTTAAATATCCTTGTGTAACGCTCTTCTCCCACAGTTTTCTCTTTCGTCATTTGAACTTAAACAATCAGTACAAAGAACAGATTGTTTTTCTTTAGCTGAATCTGCCTAATTTGGGGGTTTAAAGACAGGTTCAAACCTCATGAGCTGAGGCTTTTTTTAATGAAGTCTTATGACTGGAATGTGGTTAATTAGTTCCTAATCTGTTAAATTGGAAGGTGACAATGTGTAATGTGAAGAGTCCACATTGGCAGGATGTCCCATGGAATCTTACTTGCCTCTCAGTGCTTTTTGTGATAGATATACTCAGTGTTTTGGAGTTTTTTTGTGCCAAGCTTTATTTGCGTGCTGCCCATTCGAGCTTCTTGTTGTTAGAACTGGTGGGATGATGGTCGATGGCAGTGCAGGCGCCTGTTTACACATGCATTTTGGGAGTAAGCCTTGTTCCATATCCCTTGGGCACAATTCCAATGTTTTGCAGCTATTTAAAAACATGCAGTGGTAACTGGATCATGTATCGATAGTTAAGCTTGCTTTCTTTAATGGTACGAAAGTCCCAAACTGAGCTATGTTTTTCTTTTCCATCCCCCAGCATTGACAAGATATCTAAAGTAACCTCTCCTGTGTTGGTAATCCATGGTACCGAAGATGAGGTCATCGATTTCTCCCACGGCCTGGCCATGTACGAGCGATGTCCACGAGCGGTAGAGCCCCTCTGGGTGGAAGGGGCTGGGCATAATGACATAGAGCTTTATGCACAATACTTAGAAAGACTAAAACAGTTCATATCTCATGAACTTCCCAACTCCTGAAGAAGCCTACCTGATTTTACCTCAGTTACTGTGAATGGAAGAAATTACCTGTTTTTGCACATGCTTTAACTGGATAGCTGTAATAGCTTTATACTATGAAGAAATACCCTGTCTTTAGGGTGTTCTAATCAAACATCTGATGAAATTTGTCTTTTATATCTGGAAATTATTCTACTAATGCACACAAATATGGTCAACTACTGTAATTCCAACAATTTTTAGCTTCGTTGCCCTGAAGGAAGTGGGAATACTGGCTGCTTATGGGGACACTTTTTACCTAGTGCTGTATTAATCGAAGATCAGTTTTCTCTGTGTCACTTCAGATCGTTTATAATTCTGTCCTACAAAGACTTCTCTTTCCAGTGTTCTCGGTGTGGAGAACACAAGTGTTACGAGCTACAGCTTGTTCTACAATCGGTCATGGGTTCAATCTAAGGGAGTACTTTCTCTGTAAAGTTTCTAGCTGTGGTATTGTAACTGGAAAGTTATTGTGATGAAGTTCCCCCTCCTCCCTTCTAGTGTTCTTTTGCTAACTTACTGATCTTCCCAAGTAAATTATTTAAATATACTTTTTCCTGAAAATAAACAAACTACTATATGGGGCTAAACTCTGTAACGACCTCTCCATTACCTGTATAAACATAACTGGAATATTCTTAAAGGAACTAGGGACAAAATTGCTTTTGTTTAAAAATAAATGTGTAAATTTACTACTAGAAAACTCATTTTAATATTCAGATGGTCTGAATAATAGCCATAACAGACATTTCCTTCTGTAAAGCATTCCTGTAGACTTTTTAAAAGTACTGTACATATTTGAATTTACATTGTGCATAGATTCTTAATTGGTAGTTTTAATTTAAGTCTAGTTACAATAAACTGCAAAATTCTGGTTTGTATATGATCGAATACATTTTGTTAAAATATGTTTTTATCCCTATATTATTTTGCTATTAAAGTTTTATAAAGTTTCCAGGACAAAAAAAATTTACACATTTATGTTTTGATGAATTTATGTAACTAAATTTTCATTGAGCTGATCTTTTTAGTTTAGAAGTAATTTGATTCTTTGACACTGGAATCGCACAGATTATGCATCAGAAATGCAAAACACTTAAAAATTGTTACACTACTAGCATAGGTCTAATTTTTCCAAATTTAAAGGCCTTAAATGTACTGTAAGCCTCAGATTGTTGTATAAATTGATTGCGATTGATTGCAGTTTGTGTCCTGTTGCTAGAATGCAACACAGTGATTGTAATGGAATAAAGGATGCATGGATTAGAGCTTGCTGAATTTTTGGATCTTATTTGGTGTATAATTTTCATACACAAGGAAAGTGGAAAGTACAGATTACTGGCTAGAGTAACTTGAATTTCATTATTTAATTCCTTCCTTTCAAGGAAAACTCTCCTAAAGTACAAAGCCACGTTTCCATGAAGCTTGGTATGTAAATTAAATGTAAAAGAGATTATTTTTAAATGGTGTTCAGTTGGTTTTAAGTAATGAAAAATCATGATTCGTTGCCTAGAAGAAATGTTTGAACGTGGTTGTCATGAGTCCTTACAACAGGCCTGCAGTTAATTTTCAGCACCGCAAGTGTGTCTATTGTCTTTGATCATTGACTTGGCCCTATTACTGTAAAAGGAGAAAAACTGGTATTTTCACTTACAGCGGGGGGGAAATGAGGACAACTGTCCTGCTCCACGTCATCTGGATCCTTAGAATTTGGATCTGTGCATCTGTGTTGTCCAGGCTTGAGTTTTAAATGTCCCAAGCAGCAGGGCCCCCAGCTGTTCTCTTGGTGACTATTCCACCCAAAATTACAGGTTTTGCCTAATCATCACCTCAAGCTTGCTGTTTCCCTCCTCTACTCTACTTTAAATAAGTGTTCAGATACCTGTCTCTCTCTCTTCTTCTTTTTTTTTTTTTTTTTTTCCTATTTTGCACCTTCATAAATCCGCAGTGGATTTTCTTCCATTTCTACACGTGTTCTTCCTAACACTGTAGCCCTGGGGAAACAAAGCTGATGTCTGTGGTGTAAGTATTCAAGATAATGTTTGAAAGTGTAAGCCTGTCCATGTAGTGACTTGGGGAATTTTTACTCAATTAGGCAATGTTTTCTGAAACCCACATTGAACTTTGTGTTGCTCTGAAAACTTCAGCCTACAGTGTTTCTTCTCCTCATGACGCCTTGTAGCTACCCTTTTACTTCAACAAACTGGTACTTTTAACCTTTCGCCTATAAATTGATTTTTTAAAATTACTACTTTCTGAACTCCTGCAGTCATTTTGTGACTTGTTTTTGCATTTGCTTTGCTTTTTGTCAGTATTCCTCTGTTAATGAGAACCCCAAATCTGAATTCAACATTGTCATGTATGTCCCATGGTCTCGGCACATGCAGCCTGAGTTGACAGTATTCTGGCTGAACACGAATTTCCACTTGTACTGTCTTTTATTTGTCCAAATTCCTGCCTAACTAATTCTCAGAGGTGCCTTGCTGTTCTTCTGGCTTCTGTGTTGTCTGTTTTGCTTTGCGAAGTTCATCTACGTTTAACTAACACAAATGTTTTGCTGTTAATTAAAATGTTAATTGACCTATCAGTGATCCACTGGTAGGGATCTTTTTCCCTCTCTTAATTCAATAATTTGTTTACCTGCTTGGTCCCTTAATTTTCCTTGTAGCCCTATTCCCATCCAATCATTCTTAAATGAATTCTGAGATTTTTATAGTGTTCTGACATACCCTTTACACAAAATAAATAGTATTAGTGAGCTTCTTTATATTGTAAACTTGTATTAAAGCATCACTTTTTCAGGCATTTCAGAACACTACTGCTGGTCAACACTGGAATTATTAGTTGAAACTTATGAAACTACTTATAAGACAGTGGATTTCAGGTCCCCATTTATTTAAAGAAAGAAGGTTAGAACAAAATTTTTACATGATGGGAAAGGGGATGATGTGAGCTTGTGAAAGAGAAACTTTGGGCTAAAAATTAGTCTGTTCCAGCAAACTGCTAACATTCTCTCATTTAAATGTATAATGTGGGCCTTTACAAGAACTTGTTATGCATATTTTAGAGCTACCAAGGTGTCACTGTAAAAATGGCTGTCTGTGCTCAGATAAATTATGCAACGGGTCCTCCGAGAGTGTAAGTGATCACCAACATTTTTTTTTTCTTGATGTGGATGCTCTATCTGTTTTTCCTGTGTGACTTACCATCCTTGTTCATATAGTACAGCCATATATGATGTACAGCTTTTTTTCCGGAAGGTAAGATGTGGCACATCTGTTTTTCTGTCAGTAGTTGTCTAGTGTTTGTACTTGAAAAAGCTAGAGGAAAATACTTGTTACAACTTTAAAGGCAGTGTTTTCCAAGGAGTTTGATATGCGTCCTTTTTAGATTTATGTAACAGAGATAAATTTAACTTGTATTCACATGGAGACCCGTTACCTGTGTTGCCTCTGCTGCATTTTTCTTCCTTGTTCTTCCATGTCATTCCTGTAACTTGTGGCAACTCTGCTCTGGGCGCTGACCCTTTAGATTTCTAAATGCCCAAACATGTATTTACACTTAGTATTGTACACATCTTTTATAAACTCTGCATCGTATTTGCTTTTTCTAAATGATGCTAAACATAGAAGTAGAGAACCAATGCACTGTCTTCCTCTGGTTATTTGTTCAGCAGTAAACCTTGATTGTTCTCATTTGGAAAATGTTTTCTTCCCTGGGTCTATTCTTATGAATGTAAATTAATGATCTCATTTAAGTCCATTTAACTTATTTCTCTGTATCCTCCTTTGTGGAATTCACCAGCCGTTTTAGCTCTGAAATGTCTTGTGTTGCAAATGCAGTCGTTTCATACTCCCAGCAGCGGATAAGGGTAGGGTGGCTCTTTGATGGCGGGCACTCCGCTATTGGGAATGAGGTCAAGCACAGAAACTACCTGCTTAGTATTTATTGCTTTCAAAATCCAGCAGTAATTCTTAGATCAGATGGGTGTGAATTTCAAAGCAGGAGGTTGTATTTCAACTGTGCAATATTTGGGTCTCATAACTTCGCTGTAACAGTAAAAAGAACAAGCTGGTCCTTACATCAGGAGAGTGAGCACTACTCCTTTGACGCTTTGCCTCTGGCAATGTCTGGTTTTGAAGCTGGGTTCCTGCAGTAACCAAACTAATTTTGCAGAAAGTGAGAAAGTGTTAGAGTAACGTGCCTGCTGTCTTTTAAAAAAAAAAAAAAAAAAAAACCACAACCAAAAAAACCACCAAAAAAACCCAAAACACCACCAAACAAGAAAAAAAAGAAGAAAACCCAAGAAGATCCCTCTACCTTCAGCATGTTAACGGTAAATTGTCTTCCTGGTTCCTGTAAAGGTGAACACGCTTTGTTCTGGATTTCCTTACGACCCAGCGCTGTGGTAGGCTGCGAGCAGTAGGCAACTTCTGGTCTGGGCCACTCTGTCCCCTGGGCTTGCAGCTTTACCTGGGGTCTGCCGAACACAAAGGTGTGCTCGCTTTTCTGCTCTGCGTGGGACGCGGCTGAAGTTTTTCCATTCGGCAGAGACCAGAGCATCTCTGCTCCCCGCGGGGCAGCGCTGGTAAGTGCCGGCTGGCGGCAGCTCTCGACATAACCAGCCCTTGTGTCCAGGTGGGGGGAAACCCCTCCTGCCGCAGCCCGGGCAGCCTCCCAGCCGCCTGGGCTCCGCGCCGAGGGGGAGCCGGG